AGTAGAAAACTACAAAAGTTTTTCTTCTTTTTTTTTTTCTCCCCTAAACAGAATACATATTAATATTAATAAAGATATATTTTGAGATCATCACATAATGATCATCTATCCTAACATTTATGAAATAAATCTCATAACTTATAAAGGATAGAAAAATAATAATAATCAAGGGAAATAAAGATAAAAACCTGATTATTACCCCCATTGAATCACATTCTATTTGTAAGCAATGATTCCATGCAAGCCACTTTTCTTGCTAATATTTTCCTTCTTTTCCAGTTTCTATCATATTCCAATTTTCCTCAGAAGACATTGAATTTCAACGAGAAACTAAACTCATGTTCAAATATTGTTAGGAGACAACATCTGTTCATTTATTTCTTCTCATAGTTAAATAAAACCAAGAATATAGGAAAAATAATTACAGTGCACATCTTAGCTTTTATGCACAAAATAACTTTTCTCATTGAAAAGAAAACTGAAGGGGGTGCAATGCTTGAATGCACTTGGGAAGAAAATAATAATAATCTTACCCATCCAAGGAAAACTTACTATAAAAAATATACTCGAACATACTAAAGTAGTACTAATTCATCCCAAATCTCTTTTATCATATGATAAAATAATTCTCTTTTTCATCTTGTTCTTTCCCCAATAAAAAGAACACAGAAAATAAAAGTAATTTCCTTACCACAGAAAATACCATCAATAAATTTCTTAAGCTTGTTATCTCATGTATTCAGATTAGCAAACCAGAAATAATAAAAGATGAAAAGAAAAACACAAAGAACTATCCGAGTCCACAGAACCCACTGTGTGTCCTTAAGAAATTTAATCCCCTCAAGTACCCGAGGTTGCAGATTAATTCCTCCCAAGATAAAACGGATTAACCATTAAAGAAGTAGCGGTACCTCAAACTTCGATAATTTCTATGAACTCAAAATGACAGCAACGAATCACACACTCAGACACGATCGATCGATTTTGTTTTGTAAGAAATATATTCAAAAGAAGGGAAGAATTCGATCCAGAAAAATGAGAGAAAACCTCTTTATTTATAGCCAACAAAGGGTAAAGGTCACAACCCTTTGGAAAGAAGACAACCTTTCAGAAAGAAGATAACCTTTTAGAAAGGTCACAACACTTGGGAAAAGGCATAACCTTTCAAACGGTCACAATCCTTTAGAAATGACACAACCTTTCATAAAGTTCACAACCCTTCGGCATAGTCACAACCCTTCATTTCCTATTTACACCTTTAAAACCCAACATAAAGTCACCAGTAGAACGAAAGGAACGATTATTTTATTGATTGTAGACTAAGTATATATAGATTTTACAGAAAAAGATAAACTAAGAAAAAGGTAAGACTTATGTATAACCTATATACAAGGAGGAAGTTACAACAGAGTCTAAAGAGAAGACACTACTAAATCTGATCAGTTATTACGCCCCTGCAAGTTGGTGGTGTCAACAACACCCAACTTGGAAAATTGCTGGACAAAAGAATCTCTGGTAAGGGGTTTTGTGAGTATGTCAGCCACTTGATCAGCTGAGTGAAGGTGGTGAACTTCAATATCCTTATTCTGAACTTTTTCACGAACAAAGTGAAAACCAATGGCAACATGTTTCATCCTACTATGAAAGACTGTACTGGAACAAATGTAAGTGGTGCTGATGTTGTCACAGAAAACCTGTGGAACTCCCTTAAGTTAAAGCCGAAGTTCATGAAGAAGGTTTTTAATCCAATTGGTTTCTGCAACAGCAGCAACCATAACTCAATACTCAACTTCTGTAGAGGACTGAGATACGAAGCATTGTTTCTTAGAGGCCCAGAAAGTTAGTGTGTTGCCCAAGAATGTGATATAGCCAGAGGTAAAAATGCGATCATTTGGATCACCAGCCCAATCTGAATCTGAGTAAACAACCAAACAAGAATATGGAGCTTTGGCAATCTATATGCCATATTGGCAGGTGTGACGAAGATAACAAAGCAATCGCTTGACTCCTTTCCAGTGTGAGTGGCGTGGATTTTACATAAATTGAGAGAGCTTTCTAGCTGTGAAGGCAATATCAGGACGTGTAAAGGATAAGTAGTGCAACTTTCCAATTACCCACCTATAAAGAGTACCATTAGCCGGAGGATCATTCACTTAAGTTGTCAAAATGGTAGTTGAGGTCATAGGTGTAGGAACTTCTTTACTGTCTAGCATGCCAACATCCTCTAAAATATCCATAATATACTTGTGCTGGGACAAAAAAAGATGAGCAGTAGAAGAGATAACCTCAAACACCTAAAAAATAATAGAGCTGTTCAAGGTCTTTCAAGGAGAAACGAGTGGAAACACCATCAATTGTATGACAAAACCCCACAAATATGATTTCCAGTGATGATTATATCATCCACATAGATAAGAACATAAAAAGTGAATCCAAAATTATGCAAAATAAATAAAGAATAATCAGATTGGGACTTGACAAACCCAACAATTAGCAAATAATTTTTGAGCTCATTTTACCAAGCTCGGGGGGACTGTTTCAAGCCATAGATTGCTTTATTCAACTTACAGACATGGGTGGAGTGACTTTGATCTTCAAAGCCTGGTGGCTACCTCATATAAAATTCTTCCTTAAGGCTTTCTTGTAAGAATGCATTATTAACATCAATCTGCTGGATTGGCCAGTTGTACTGCGTCGCAATGGTAAGCACCAACTGAACAATAACTGGTTTGACTACCGGGCTGAAGGTGGAATGGAAGTCTAAGCCTGGACGCTGGGTAAATCCCTTTGCAATAAGATGAGCTTTATACCTGTCAATGGAACCATCAGATTTTTGTTTTATACGAAACAACCACTTGCACTCAACCACATTCATCGAAGGAGCAAATGGAACCAAATTCCATGTCTGATCTAGTAATAGATAGGGATGAAGTTGAAAATCACAGTGATCATGCACAAGTTTTAAATAGTGCAGGAGGTTCCCCTCAAGGGAGATCAAAGAAGAAGAAGATTAAGTCTCAAGGCGATAAGCCTATTAGGATGAACTCTTTGCAGTATGGTAGAGCTATATTAAAATGATCTTTAAAGCATTAATATGGAATATTAGATCAGTTAGATCTAAGCACTCTTACCATAGTGTTCAAATGCTTCATAGACATCACAAGTTTGATTTGGTTGCTTTAATGGAACCTTTTCAAGAGACTAGGCAGATCCAACAGTTTAAAAGGATATTAGGCATGGCCTATGCACATTATAACTTCAATGGGAAGATTTGGTTATTTGTAAAGGAGGATATTCAGGTGGAGGTTGTTTCTGATTCTGAACAACAATTGACTATTAAAATGCTATTCCTTAGTGGGCATTAGATGGTTAGTACTCTTGTCTATGCTAAATGTACATAAGTTGAAAGACTTCAATTATGGGAAGATTTGTATGCCATTGGGCAAAATATGAATTTCCCCTGGTTTATTGGAGGGAAATTTAATGTTATTATGGACTTTAATGTCTATCCAAATGAGGTGAAGGATTTTGCTTTTTGTATCAGTTCTTGTGAACTATTTGATATTAAATTCAAGGGTAGCCCTTTCACTTGGTGGAATTGGAGGTCAGATGGAGAATGTATTTTTTAAAGATTAGACAGGGTTGTGGGGAATCAAGCATTTCTGGAAGGGTTGGGTCATGTGGATTTGGAACAACTAGCTAGGACAAGGTCTTATCATGCTCCTATGTTGCTGTCTTGTGGGGTTCAAACTGTCCATTTCCACAAACCTTTTAGATTCCTTAACTTTTGGTCTGAAAAGGAGAAGTTCAAAGATCTGATTAGGCTGAGTTGGGTTGATGATCATTCTGATGATGTGTTTGTTAATTTATTGATCAAGATGAAGAAGACTAAACTAGCTCTTTCTAAGTAGAGTAGAGAAAGTTTTGGGGATCTTTTCAAACAATTAATTATAAGGGAGGAAATTCTGAAAATCAAAGAAAAATTGTTTGAGGATGTTCCTACTGATGCTAATAGAATCATCCTAAATAGAGCTCAAGCAGAATATACACAATACTTGAAGTTTGAAGAGGATTTTTGGAGACAAAAGGCTGGGATGCAATGGTTCATTGAAGGAGATAGGAACACCAAATTCTTCTACAATATTGTAGAACAAAGAAGGAGAAGATTAGAAATCTCCAAAATGCAGAAAGTTGATGGTACATGGGCTGAAGGAAGTGAAGTTAAGGAAGAGGCTGTAAAATTCTATCAAGATCAATTTTCTAGTGATATACATGAATCTAAATTATCCCTTATGGAATTAATTCCCTCTTTGATTAAGGAGGAAGATGATGAAATGCTAAATAAGAGTTCCACTTTGAAGGAGGTTAAAAAGATGGTATTTGAACTTAATGGGAATAGTACTAGTGGACCTGATTGTCTGACTGGGCACTTCTATCAAGTTTGCTGGGATATAGTCGGAGAGGATGTTGTGAGGGTGGTGATTGATTTTTAAAAAAAGGGATGATACTCCCAAAATCCATCACTCATACAAACCTTGTTTTGATTCCTAAGAAGGATAAGGTGAGTTCATTTGCTGATCTAAGGCCTATCAGTCTTTGCAACTTTCTAACAAAGTTATTTCCAGAGTTGTTCATGATAGACTATAAGTATTCTTACCTTCTCTTATTTCTTCTAATAAATGTGGTTTTGTCAAAGGAAGAAGTATTACAGAAAATGTCCTACTTGCTTAGGAGATCATTATGGATATCAGGAAGAGGAGTAAAGTTGCTAATGTGGTGTTTAAACATGACATGACTAAATCATATGACAAGGTAGATTGGAGCTTTTTAATTAAAGTGTTGGAAAAAATGGGCTTTAACAAAGTGTTTACTGATAAAATATAGAGACTAGTGGCCAACAATTGGTATTCTGTTTTGGTCAATGGCCAAGCTTGTGGTTTTTTTCACTCTACTAGGGGTGTTAAATAAGGATATCCTTTATATCCTTCTTTATTCATTCTAACAGCTAAAGTCCTTACTAGGGCCCTTAATAATTTGTTCAGCTATGCAGGGTATTAAGGGTCTGGTCTTTCAAAGTGGAGTGAACAGATTAATCACCTTGCCTATGATGATGACACTATCATTTTTGCTGAGGCATATAGATTTTCCTTGAACTTTATTATGAAGACTTTACAAGATTATGCATCCCAATCTGGTAAAAAAATCAATAAAGAGAAAAGTGCATATTTTGTTTATCACTAGGCAGCACAAGGTGATATCCAGATGATAGAAGAGTGTACTGGTTTTCCTAGAGGTAAGTTCCCATTAACTTATCTTGGTGTCCAATTGGGCATGTAACGAAAAGGAAAATTTATTTCTCTGAACTTATAAAAAAGGTTCAAAACAAAATTCAAGCTTGAAAAGGGAAACTTCTGTCTTTTGGGGTAAGACTGTATTGATCAATAATGTATTACAGAGTATTCCTATATATTAGTTGTGTGCTATCATTCCTCCCAAGCGTGTCATTCATGACCTTCATAGAATCTTTGCAAGATTTCTATGGAATTTTAAGGAAGTAGGAGGAGATAAACACTGGTTTCCTGGAATAACGTATGTACCCAAAGAACAAGGTGGATTAGGATTTAGATCCTTATTTGATGTTTCAAGGGCTTTATTTACAAAATTGTAGTGGAACTTTAGAACAAAAAATACTATATGGTTCCAGTTTATGTAGAATAAATACCGTAAAAGACACAGACCACAAACAATAGAGTGGAAAGGGGGTTCCCAAACCTGGAAATATATGCTAGCTGTTAGAGATTTTTTTGAGCAGGAAATATGGTGGCAACCAAATTGTAGGCATTCTAGTATCATGATTGACAATTGGACACAATTAGGTGCTTTATATTATTACCTACCAGTGTCTTATATTAACAAATAGATGCAAATAGATGTTGATCATTTATTTCATGAAGGGAGTTGGAATGAAGAGCTCTTAAGGAATGTGTTCCCAGAGAATGTTGTAAAACATTTTCTCAATAATATTGAGAGATTCCAAGTATTAGAGGAAAGAGATAATCCTATGTGGATGTTAAACAACTCTGGGAAATTCACAGTTAAGTCTGCTTGGGACTTTATCAGAACCCCTGGAGTTGAGGATGATACTTTTGCTAGGATTTAGGAGAAGGGTGTATCTTTTAAGGTATCTTTCTTTTTCTGGAGATTGACAATGAAAAGGATCCCCATTGGTGAAGTATTAGCAAAATTTGAAACTAAGGAGGAGATGGTGTGTTGATGTTGTGATCAGATGGTTACTGAAAGTTCTCAACACCTCTTTGTTTCTTGCCCTACTGCTAATCGGATCTGGAGTAGTTTTGCTAGAGCTGCTGATGTAGAAGGTCCTTTTCTTCAAATAAAAGACACACTGTATAAATGGTGGAATGCAAATTGTTCATCTAAGCTAAGGCCCCTATTCAATGCTATACCTGGTCTAATACTCTGGCAAATCTGGAAAAGATGGAATAAAATAAGACATGGTGACAAAATGAATGTGCAAGACATGATGATGGAAGTAAACATGAACATGCACTGGTTAGCTGTTTTTAGATATCCATGGATGAGGAATATCCTTGAGGATTGGCCAAATTTGGTGCATTTCTTTGAGAGATATAAACCAACTGTAGTTCCTAATGTCATTTACTGGAAACCTCATATGGAGAGGACTTACAAGTGTAACTTAGATGGAGCTTCTAAAGGAAACCCTGGACAAAGTGCTAGTGGATTTTGCATCAGAAACTGGAAAGGAGAACTTATATTTGCTGCAACTTATGATCTTGGCATAAAACAGGTTTGGAGGCTGAAACTAGTGCTACGGAGAAAGGTTTAAATTATGGTGTTACACATAATTTACTCCCTGTGTGTTTAGAGACGGATTCACTAATATTGACCAAGATTTTACATGGGAGTTCGGAGGTCCCTTGGAGTATAAAAGTGCTGATTAAGAAGATTTAATTTTTGAGAAACAAAAGGGAAGTTGAGGTGTTACATACGTTCAGGGAAGGCAACAAAGTGGCAGACTACTTCACTAACTTTATTTTTTTCTTTTGTAGGTACAGAGATTAAAACTTTCCAATCAATTCAAGAAGTACCAAAGGAAGGAAAATCCCTACTAATCATGGATGCAAATTATATTCCAAACATTAGAATTACTAAAATGCAAAACAAATTCTATGGTTTGTAGTATGGAATTAAAATCGTTGCAAAAAATGGAATGCAGTTACAGTATAAGTCAAGTAGAGGAGATGAAAGAAGTACCTAATAGATGTCCATGGACTTTAGATCCTAGATTTTTAGACAGTGGTATCAGTTCCCTCGGAGCTCAATCTGTCAAAAGGCAAAGGTTTAAGGAAAATGGTACTCTAGAAGGCACTGATAGAGACAACAACAATTGGTAAGGCTGTGGTTATACTTATCTGAGTGAGAACGGAAGATTACCACCTAGAGGAAGCCCCAAATAAGATCGATTTGTACATCAGTATAAGGGCACTACATAACAATGTAAACGTGAGTTTCTTGTTGAATAATCGATAGGGGTTGGGGATTACCTCTCACACAGGAACTGGATCAAGTTTGTTTGAACTGAAGAAGTCTTCGATGGACAAGAATACGTGGCGTTAGTGAGAGGTTTAACGTCTTGGTGTACTCTATCCAAGCTTGACAATAAGTTTCCCTAGTTCTACTGTGAGTAAGGTCTAACTCTTATCTCATCATTTGCACAAAGATTCAATTGATAGAGGTCCACCATTGTCGCTTGAATGAATTGTGGAGGAAGGAGATCGATGGAGATCCAACATTGCTGCCGGTTTGAAGTTTCGGGACTTTGGTTACTTGAAAATATGGGGGCTTACCTTTCCCTTTTTGTTTTTCCTTAGTTTTTGTTTCCTATTCTAGTCTTTTTCAGATTTTGGGATTGGGCTGTTTGGGCCTAATCCCGTTTTTACTATTTTTATTTATTTTTCTATTATTAATAAAAAAAAATCCTAATAAGTGCATCTAATTCAGCTTGCATCGCTTCTCTCTAGTGAGGGTTATGACATGCTTGTTTGTATGTATGAGGAACAAAGGACTAGGAAAGTTGAACATTGACACTAAACTGCTTGGGTTTGAGGCTATTTGTTTTGGAGCGTGTGACCGTGGGATGACTTGAAGTTGTCACCATGGGTGAAGGATCAGATGGAGTCAAAGCAAGTGCAGGTTGGTAAGGGTTATTGGCAGATGACTGAGAAGGTAGGTTGGGGGAGGTATATGAGAATGGAGTAGTAACACTGAGGTATTTAGTTGTTGGTGATATTTATGTTGATAGGTGATATTTACATTGATAGGTGATTTTTACGTTGATAGGTGATTAATGGTCTGGGTGACGATGAGGGATGAGTATTATCCGGTGGTGGTGTAATGGTGTGTGGCAATGAAGGCGCATATAAAGTCTTAGAATTACCTGATGCAACTGAGACACCTTCTGATCTGCCAGGCATTGAGTTGGGCCGGGTAGGGTGCACAGGCAGATCATCTGGGAGGGGATGACAAAAATCTAAACTTGATGGTTTATTAGTCACATGTAGATCATCAAAACAAATTTCCCAATCGATGTCAGTGCTCTGTTGGATTTTTAGATTCAAAAAAAATATTATGAAAATGATAGGTGTCTTCCAAAAACTGAACATCCCTGGATAAGTACAATTTGTTTTTGACGGGATCAAAACATTGGTGGCAGTAATGTTTATAAGAAAATCCTAAATATACACAAGGAGTCGATTTTGGCTCTAACTTATTTTTGGCATATGGTTTAAGCCATGGGTAACATAAACAACCAAAAACTCTAAGGGATTCATACTTTGGAGCCTCCTGAAATAAAATTTCATAAGGGCATTTATTTTGTAAATTTGGAGTGGTTAGACGGTTTATAAGGTAAACTGCTTGGTGATAGACAGAACTCCAAAAAGATGAGGGAAATGAGACTTGATGCAACAAGGTTTTGGCAGTCTCAACTACATGTCTGTGTCTGCATTCATATGATGCCACTCTTTGAGGCGTGTATGGAGGTGTCACTAAGTGTTCAATACCATGAGGTTTGAGATATGAGGATAAACCTTGGAACTCACCACCACCATTAGTATATAGAGACATAATTTTGGTTTGAAACCGATGCTCAAGTAAGGGATGTAAAGCTTGAAAGAAATCAAGAACTTCCTTTTTTGATTTTATAGTGAACAACCACATGTATTTCGAGTACTGGTCAACAAATAAGGCATAATATCTCTTGTTATCAATTGACAAAACAGGAGATGGCCCCCATAAATCAGTATAAATTATTTGCAATGGTCGTTGACTTTGTAATGAATTTTCAGAAAAAGGTAACATGTGCATTTTATTAGAGTAACATGAATTACAAATGGAAGCGGTTCTAGAATGTGAAACTTGAGAGAAAATTGATGAAAAATAGTGTTTAAAGTACGATGATTAGGATGACCTAAACGCCGATTCCACAGGTGTAGAAGAGCGATAACATTGCATTAAGGGATATGATGTGCACTGTCCGACGACCACTCATTTAGCCCATCTCAATTCTGCCCGCGAAACAGAGGCGCCCTAGTACTCAGATCCTTCACACAATAAGTAAAAGGAAAGAATTCAATGGACGTATGGTTATCCCGACAAAATTTGGAAACAGAAAGAACATTTTTTTAAAGAATGAGAACATAAAGTATTGAGAAGCTAAAATTGCTGATTCGATGCACTTAAGTTAGTGTTACCGGTATGAGATATTGGAATTGTGTTACCGTCCCCCATTGCTATCTCCTTTGGACCACGGGAGGTGTGCACATCAGTAAAGCTTTGCGCATTAGAGGCCATATGATGAGTGGCCCCTGCATCAACAATCCAAGGAGCCCGTTGAGTTGGAGATCGAGCAGCATAGTTTGCTCGGGCTTGTAGGTGATCGTGTGATTATGATCTGCAAACCTTAGCAAAATGACCAGGACGGTCACATAACTGGCACTTCAGAGTGGGGTCATAACGCTGCAGTTGGTTATTGTTGACAATACTCCATGAATGGGCACACCTTGACTGGTTGGTGTTGGGGGGATTTGCATTTGAACGCCTGTTAGAGGTGTTTCCATAGCGAGAATGAATGCTTGTTTGTTGTGCAATAGCAACAACAATGGGTGTTGAAAGTGGCTTCTTTGCTTTTTCATGCTCTATGAAAAGTTCATGGTCAAGTAATTTCTCATAAAGTTCTGGATAAGAGATAACATAATCTCTTGCACGGTTAGCAGCTGATATTTCACGGAATTCAGATCCATGTCCAGTGAGGATTTTGACAATTAGTTCCTCATTGGACATAGGAGCTCCAACAGTGGCAAGTTCATCACAGAGTGATCGAACTAGGTGCAGATAATTAGCGATAGGAAGGGTTTCTTTTGTGAGGCATGCCAGACGATCGTGCAAACTAAAGATCCTTGTTTGCGATTTGTTGGCATACGCAGTGTGCAAAGCATCCCAAGTAGCCTGGAAACTGGATGCAACGACAACTGTAGCAGCAAGAGTTGGATCAACTAAGGCCAAGATGGCATTTTGAATTAGTTGATCTTGGCGATACCATGAAACAAATGTAGGATTTTCGACGTCTTGATTATTTTGAGCCACTGTATGAGTAGGGCCTGGGAGAGATTCGTCGAGATGGACAAAAAGGTTGTGAACCACACATAGGCATGGACACTTGTGCATTCCAAAGGGAAAAATTGTGGCTTCCATTTAATTTGATTGGTAACTGGGTGACAGGATTAAACTGAACAATCATTGTATTGGCATCAAAGTTGGTTACAGTGATGTTTGGGGCAATTTTGATGGGAAGGTTGGGAGGGTTTCTCGATAGAATTTTACTCATGAGAGTTGATTGGCTTCTAATACCATATAAAGTATAAAGTTGCCAATAGAATGAAAGGAACGATGTATTTTATTGATTGTAGACAAAGTATATATAGATTCTACAGGAAAGAGATAAACTAAGAAAAAGGTAAGACTTATCTATAACTTATATACAAGGAGGAAGTTACAACATAGTCCTAAAGAGAAGACACTACTAAATTTGATCCGTTATTACCTACAACAATCCTACTCATGACAATTTCAGATATATTCTCACTATAGTAGATGGTTTTAGTGTAGGAACATGGACTTTCTTACTATCTTCCAAATCAAATGCTTTTACAGTACTTAAATCTTTTCAAATCATGATATAAAGGCAGTTTCACACTAAAGTCCAGAAAATAAGATCAGATAATGCTTTTGAATTGGGGACTGAAAACTGCAATCTGAATTTTTGTCATCTCAAGGCATCATTCACCAAACAACTTGTGTTTCCACTCCACAACAAAATGGGGTTGTGGAAAGGAAACACATACATCTATTTTAAACATCGAGAGCACTTCTTTTTCAATTGCATTTACCTATTAAGTTTTGGGGTTATTGTCTTTTAACAACAACCTATTTGATTTATAGGTTTCCTTCCAAATTCTCAAATACAAAACACCTTATGAGATTCATTTTACGTCTAAACCAAATTATCAGAGTCTTAAGTGTTTTGGATGTTTGTGTTTCGCTTCCACTCTTTCGGTTCATAGGGCAAAGTTTGAACCTAGAGCTGTGTCATGTGTGTTTTTGGGATATCCTAATTGAAAGAAAGGTTTTAAGTTAATCTTTAAACCAAGAACATTTTTAGGGAGCTATGGAAAGCAGATATGGATGAAGTCCAGAGATGCATTTTATCATTACTTAAGCCAGAAGAACGACCTACAATGTTTGTGTTTCGCTTCCACTCTTTCGGTTCATAGGGCAAAGTTTGAACCTAGAGCTGTGTCATGTGTGTTTTTGGGATATCCTAATTGAAAGAAAGGTTTTAAGTTAATCTTTAAACCAAGAACATTTTTGTTTCAAGAGATGTGATATTTCATGAAAATGTATTTCCTTTTGCCTCTACTAAGCTTTGTGAATGTACTGAATCTTTTCTTCCTATGGATCATTGTGTTGGTACTAAGGATCCCTTGCCTACTTTAGTTCCTCATAATCTGTCCACATAGGATAATTCTATTCCTATTTTACCTATCACTATGTCGCTTTTTCTGATGATCATCATCCCGGTGCCTTTGATTCTCCATATTCTCCTATTATTCATGATAACATTCCCTCACCGTCAATTTCTCTTATGGTCATAGATAATATTCTTGGAAAATCTTCTAGGTGTCATAAAACACCTACTTATCTAAAAGATTATATTTGTAACGCTTTGCAACTCAGCAATGTCACCAGTTCTTGTTTTCTTTCCTAGTTTACTCCTCCTTAGTTTTCTTTTTCCAGTTTGTCTTCCACAAATCAAGAATTCATAAATTTCCTTTCAAACCTCCAAGAACCTACTAGCTATACCCAAGATATGAATCACCCAGGTTTGTAAAATGTCACGCCTAATGAAATTGCAGCACTTGAATTAAACAAACTTGGGAGGTTGTGGAGTTACCTCATGGGAGAAAGACATTGCCCTATAAATGGGTGTATAAAATCAAACAACATTCAGATGGAAGCATGGAAAGACTCAAAGATCGATTGGTAATTAGAGGCGATATACAAAGAGATCAAATAGATTTCAATGAAACATTTTCACCGGTAGTTAAAATGACTACAATTAGGTGTATCTTGTCTATAGAAGTAAAAAAGAATTGGGAATTATTTCAACTGGATGTGGATAATGAATTTTTACATGGAGATTTAGATGAGGAGGTGTACATGAAATTTCTAGTCGGACTTACTCGTCCTTCCTCAAATAATGTTTGTAGGCTGAAGAAATCCATTTACAGGCTCTGACATGCATCTCGACAATGGTATGCCAAATTGAATTCTGCCTTAAATTTCAAAGGTTTTACTCATTCGTTAAATGACTATTCCCTGTTCTTTAAGAAAACAATTTCTTTTATATGTATTGTGGCTATCTATGTAGATGATATCTTGTTAACATGAAATGAAATTGAAGAGATTAATGGACTTAAAGTCTTCCTAAATTAAGAGTTCAAAATTAAAGACTTGGGAAACTTACACTATTTCCTTGGTATGGAGGTTCTTCCCGAGTAGCGGGGTCTAATTCTCAGTCAACACAAGTTCAATTTGGATTTGGTGGAAAAATTTGATATTCTCGGGCTTACTCCAGTATCTTCCCCTCTTGATTCCACATCAAAATTGCTTCCTAATTCAGGTGATCTAATCAAAGACTCAACTTTGTATCGCCATCTACATGGAAAGTTAAGTTATCTCACACATAGTCACCCAGATCTTATCTTTACAATACAATATTTGAGCAAATATATGCAAGATCTCATTTGAATGCTGCTCCACGTGTCCTTCGCTTGTTGAAGGACCCTGGTCTGGGATTATTCATGTCTTCATCACAATCCTTTGAGTTGATAACGTTCCGTGATTCGGATTGGGGGACTTTGTCCAATTCTTGAAAGTCTGTAAGTGGATTTTACATAGCTCTTGGTGCTTCTCCTATCTCCTGGAAGTCAAAGAAGAAGACTTCTATTTCCCTCAGCTCTGCTAAAGTTGAGTATTGGTCCATGAGGAGAGTTGTTGCCGAGTTTACTTGGTTGGTGCGATTATTCGATTCCAATAGCTTTATCGGTTCCTCTTCACTCGGATAGCAAAGTTGCGATACATATTGCCAAGCTTTTTCGGTTTTGAAACGCATCATCATTGGTAGGGTTTGGAAAAACATCATTGAATGATTCGTCAAGAATGATGTCATCGATCGTGAAATTAACATTTTAAAATTCCATAGGGAAATCTTCGACATTTTCTTGATATGTTGAGGTCATGTGTAGGGAGAAAAAAGTACGTTCAAGAGGTGGAACGACAAGACCGTCGAACTCATCGATGAAGTTCGCTTCTTCCATCGGTGCTAGATCGACCATATCAAGATATTTCAACAATTAATCAGAGTTTTCGAGAGAGCAGGGTAGGAATAGAGATAAACCGAGAGTTACCTTTCTTTTATAGTTTTATTTTTTGATATTGTTAATATTGATCCATTAGATTTTGTAGATAACATGGCTAAGCAAGAGGCAAAGGTATATTGTTCAAAAAATATGTGGAACTAATTTCATATATTCCTGAATATCATATATATGATTGAATAAATTTATGTTAGTTATTATGTATTAGAATTAATTGAATCATGATTTCATACCATTTTCGGTGCGGAACTGGTAGTTGGGGAAGTCATAGAAGTAGTAGTATGGTAGGTGGTAGTGTGGTAGGTGAGTAACTTATTTTAAAGTTTTTATTATAATATCTTTTTGTTAAGTGTCTTAATCTTGATATCTCTTTAATATTATTTTTTGGTAGTGTTAAATTCATGGTAATATGTAGTAATATTTATTGTAATATTCTTCCGATAGTTGTTTTAATCTGAATATTTCTTTAATATTATTTATGATATATTCTAGATATAACATATCTTGGGTTCTTTGGTACATATATAAATTTTCCTCCATTAATTGTTCTAATAGTTTTATATCTTCCATAGCTTCTATCCAATATT